AGTGGACCTCTGATCCGCTAACCTTGTATTTCTGCGAGTCCCTGAATCGTCATTGCCCACAGAACGAAAAAAAACCGTTGATTTTACATTAGCTAAAATAACTTTAAATCGACATACAAAAGTTTCATTTGGCAGCATCGATGTTTCAGAATTGGTTATTTAGGGTATGGTAGCATTGCTGACAGGGGAGGCTTAGAAAAAATGAATATGTCAACGCTGATTGGAGTGCAGCAGTTGTGATATTCCACAGTTTGCTGTGGTTTCTGGCACTTGTCCACACGGAATTGGTCTCTATCGGGTGTCTGACCTGCTGCACAAGATCACATCCCTGGACCAACAACCAACACTGTGGACATTCATTAAAATCGTAATAATGAAATATTTATGGTAGGCTTGCACATCCCTCAAATGCCAAACTAATACACCACTGCCACTTGCTTACGTCAAATCAGTTAGGGACAGATTTTCTGACTAATGCACTGTACCCTTTAAAATATGTAAAGTATCAGGTGCGAGAAAAAAAAATACTAATAGTGAAAAACAAAGCCAAAACTATCTTGACTTTGGTGCGTCAACTGTGTCTCAGTGGTAGTTCTGTCATCTTGAGTGAGAAAGTCTGGGATTCAGTCTCACTCCACAGACCAACTCATAATCCAAGTCGATATTTTCATTGTACTAAGGGAATACTGCACTGTCGGAGACTGTACTTTTCACATGCAATGCTAAACTGAGACCCTCTCTCCCCAGGCAGATAGATGCAAAAATAAAACATAATGCTTTTTTAATAAAAGCTGAGCAATGTAATTTTCCCCAAATGTTGATTGATATTTATCCCTCAACCAGCATCATTGACAGATTGGTCATTTATCCATTTTGGAAGGAAAAACAAAACAAAAGCAGAATAGTTGTTAACTGGTGAGACAAGAAAATTTTACTATTAGGAGGGCCTTGGGCATAACAAAACGTTAACCTGCAAGCACAACAAGCAGTTAGGAAAATAACTTGTATATTAGTTTCTATTCTAAAGGGATGGAGTGAATGAGAAAAGAAGTCTTGCTGTCATTGTGTAGAGTCTTGGTGAGATAACATCTGGGATACTGTGCCAAATTTTAGCCTCCTTACCTAAGGAGTGATAATAATTGCCATTGAGGAAATGCAGCAAAGATTGACTAGACTGATCATAGGACTGAAGAGTTCAGGCCTGTATTCCTTAGAAAGACTCATTGAAAGATAGAAAAGGGTTGATTGGCTGCAGTTTTTCAAGAATGGGGGTTCACTCTCAGAATAAGGGGCCAGTCATTCAGGATTGAGTTGGACAGATAATTCTTCAATCAAAATGTTGTAAATTAATTAATTAACATAGCAATATATTTCAGACACATTTTTGGATACTAAGGGAAACATGGAATATGGGAACACTGCAGGAAGGTATAGTTCAGGTAGAAGATCAAAAAATATCTTAAGTATTTGGTCAGACTCGAAAGACTGAATGTACAATTTCTGCTTCTTTATTTTTGGGGGTTTTAGTTTAGTCTTTCTTGAACCCAGAACATTCAAAAACACTTTGCAGTCAATTGAAAACTTTGGACTTATTGTCACTAATTTAGTTTAGGGACTGGAACAGAGAAATTGGACACAACAAGGAACATTAAAAGCAATGCAACAATGACCTGATAATGTGTTTTAAAAAGCAATATTGACTGAAGGGTAACTATTGACCCAGACACCTAGGACACCTCTCCTACTTTTTTTCAAAATAGCACCACGGGATCTTTAATCCAAGGCCAGATGGACAGAAATGTCAGATCCAAAAGAAAATCACCTCCAACAGTCCATCTTCCCTCAACACTTCACTAGATTGGCAGCTTAGATAGTGTGCTCAAATCCATTGAGTGAAACATGAGCACACAACCTTTTGACAGAGAAGTGTGTGCTAGCAACCAAACCAAGGTTGAGTTAAATTCCCAAATAATGATGATTGGGAGCAAACACACCGTAGATGCAGCTTTGCACTTTAAAAGTATATATGCTAACCTTGGAATATCGGGGTAACTCTCAAGACCAGCTTGTACTACCTATTTCCCTTGGTGTGATGGCAGTAGACCTTATTCTTAAACTATTACAATCCATGTCGTGAAGGTTCTCCCAAAGTGCTGGGAGTTCTACATCTTGATCCAATAATAAAGAACACATATCAATCAAACTGTTGGATACAAACAAATGAATATTTGACAGAAGCGATTCTTCTGCCTGAATTTCATTTTCTCTTCAATTACAATTACAATGTGACTGAAATAATCAGGTGTGCACCAAGATGTGAGATGAACTCAGTCAGTATGTTCTATTTCACAGTTTTTAATTCATTGTCAGATTTTGTTTGTTTCATGTAGGCTAATATTAAAATTAAATAGAAAACAAAAGTGCAAAATCTGATACATTATCATTCTTTCGTCATGCATTCCATTGCTATAAATTCACATGCAGCACAACACAAAATGTAACTATAACAGACAATGCAACTATAACAATATGACATACAGTCTGCAAAGACTTTACATTTCTTTTTGAGATATAGCATTGCTGGCAAGACCAGCATTTATAGCCCATCACTAAATGCTCTTTCGATGGTGATGGTAATTTGTCTTCCTGAATCATTACTATCTGTCTATGAAAATACTCACACAATGTTGTTAGGTACAGACTTCCAAGATTTTGACCCAACAATGATGAAAAACAGCAATATATGTTCAAGTCAGATGGTTGTCACAGTGACTAACTATAATAATGTGACAATGTATCTATAAAAAAAGTTAAATATTCTCTCAGTTTTACGGTTATTCAAAGTAGAGATTCTCACATCACAACCCTGACCCTTACTGCAATATCTAAATTGGACTGTCCTAATACAAAAACATAAGAGCTGCACCTATGCCCATCTATACCGGAGTCATAGAAAGGCTGTGTTTTAACATTGTACAAGAAGTAAAATGTTACAGACACTGTTGCGCATCTGAAATACCTTTACTCAAAATGACAAATCTCTGTTCTTACCACAGATGAAGACTGACCAGCTCAGTGTTTTCAGTACTTTCTACTCCTAGTTCCAACTTTACCTCTTACAACACAAATTATAACAAGGGTTTAAAACTATTTGGAGAACATTGCTGGAAAAAAGTAATTAATTATAAGTTATATTAAGTTGAAATGACAGTAGTGCTTTGAAAACAAGGGTCATCTATTCAGTGGATGTTATGATAAAGCTTCTACATATCTGTATAACATCAACCAGCTTTTCTGATTCTTCTTATTATCTGGAGACACTCCTGGATATACACCCAGTTATCAGGTGAGAAAAGTACTGAGTTTTTGTTGCCCTTCACATTCAAACAGTCCACAAATAATTTACCAATATTTGATGTTTAGACTCATACATGGTAACAGTCGCTTGGGCAAGGTACGGGCTGGTACCAGCACCTACAGAGATGTAGCTCAGTAAACATCAAATGAAAAATTTCAGATTGATTAACTATAAACAATTCAATTATTATACAGTAAATGATCACGGCTTTAGGCTGTGCAGGAGCCTAAATTGTGTTTTAAAAAGTCTGGTTTTATTGTGAGTTTAAATTACATTTATTCAAAAAAGTTGGTGAAATATTGCAGGTTTGTAGTAATATCAATAATAAGTTTAAAGCAGAAGACACATTGTAACATCTGATTTCAAGAGAATGACCATTAGGAATGGTGACAACTTTTTAAGAGAAGGGTAATACCTGATGGGAGGTTGTCTCAAGTAAAGCTGTTGGGAGAGAACTGTAGGGAGATTCTTAGAAAATAAAAAGATATAAGGAGGAATACAAAGATAACAAGAAACCCTTGTAGACAAGGTATTATTGCTAAATATTGTGTTAGTCACCATTTTTCTAAATAACATTCAAAACTGTTTATAAAAGTATGGTATTACAAATGCAATTTTAGTGTGGGTACGAGAAGCAGGGTTGTTTCAAATAACAAATGAGTCGAATGGGACAATATAAACCAGTAGGGGATTCGATTATCATAGTTGGGTAGTGGATTCTGGGTATTGTTGGGATTTGATGGATTATGGTTTTGGAGTGTAGGGTGTAAATAGGGATATTTTCATCAGACATGACTGGGTGATTGCAAGAATCTTATTCCAGACAGCTCCAGATGTGGCATCGCCTATCAGGGCAGTCACAGGCATTCTTGGAGCCATCAAGATTTTCACTGTTGTTATCGGATGAGGATTGACTGGCTGTGTGGGTCAAAACAGCTGGGTTCCTTATGATGTCTGCTCAGACCGTAATAAATGATCCATGATCGACATCAACAGATTCTGGTTCCACACACCGTCCTCGCCTGCGGGTCACTCTCCGATTCCGATGGAACTTGGCATAACAGCGAAGACCTGATAAAGACAGAAGAGTGGGTTCAGTCTTGAGCACACATCTGACAGGGCCTGGCTCAATTGCCAACTTCACTTCTAACATGGTCAGAAATCAGATGACACTAGGTTATAGTCCAATAGGTTTACTTGAAATCATAAGCTTTCAGAGGGTAGCCCCTTCATCAGGTGAAATGAGAGAGAAGCACACAGTCACAGAATTTATAGGCAGTGAGATCTAAAGATCATACAACTGGTGTGAAGTGGAGTGTTGAATAATAAGTCTCCGCGGGTGATCCAAAGTGTCAGATGGTATAAGTAAAGTGTCACCAGCTGAATAACAAGTGAAGGGATGACCTATAATCTGATTAAATGAGGCAGACAGATAATTACAAAAAATTAAAAATAAGATGATGTCATGTTATTCCAGTCATTTGGTTTGTCTCCAGCACCATCTTATTTTCAATGTTTTTGTAATTATCTCTGTGCCTCATTTAATCAGATTATAGGTCATCCCTTGGCTTGTTATTCAGCTGTTGACGCTGTACTCACATGTGACACTTTTGTTCACCTGCAGAGATTTATTATTTGACACTCCACTCACACCATTTATATGATCTTTTGATTTCTCTGCCCTTGATCTCTCTGCCTACAAATTCTGTGTCTGTGTGCTTCTCTCTCACTTCACCTGACAAAAAGGCTACACTCCGAAAGCTTGTGATTTCAAATAAACCTGCTGGACTAAAACCTGGTATTGTCTGATTTCTGACCTTGTCCACCCCAGTGCAACACCAGCACCTGCACATTATCACTTCTAACAAGACTGAGCTTCTTTTTCCATCTACCATTCTGATACTAACAATTCACACTTTCAGTCTGTAATGCAGCGTCAAATCCCAACCTAACAGTGGAAGTAGCTTTAATGTTTACTTTAATGAAATGTTAACTCTGCTTTGTCTCCACAGATGCTGCCAGACGTGCTGAGCTTTTCTAGTAATTAGTGGTTTTTTTTGTTTTTGATTTCCAGCACCCGCAATTCTTCGTTTTTATTTTGTTAAGAGTAGCTTGTTCGAGGACCAACACATGCCTCCAACAATCCTGACAGCACCCCAAGATTTGACCGAGAGTACCTTTAAACTGATGAACCCTCAATTTCAGGACCAAATCTGACTTTGATTCACATCATTGGCAACCCGGTAGGGAGTGAGAAGGAAGATTAAACTCTTTGGGGTTGATAGCTAGTGCTCAAACGTCAGTGACTTTGGCTAATCTTGAGCCAGAGCTTGCACCCACCTTCTGCACACATACAATCATCATAGCACTTGTTGTTGAGGCCGCGGTTGTGGGCTTTGCAGATGTGCTGCCGGAGGTCACAACACCAACCTGTGGAAAACAAACACAGATGTCGCAGTAAGTTCAGATGTCATTTAATTTTGACACAAATTATTGTACTTGGTATAGATGATGTGGACCAGACACTGCTCAGAGTAGACATGACAAAGAGAAACATACAGCCAATTATCATGTGGACAGTCACTGCAAAGACAACGCACATACATCTAGTTCTGGGTGAGCTGACATTTCCTATACCTAAATATCTATAAAGTGGATTTGTCTTTGGCCTCTGCCAAAAGCAAATTGCATTACCAACAACTCCACCCTGCTGGTCATTGTCTGTGGCTGAACCAAACTGTTAGCAACCTCAGGGCATCCTCTCTATTTCAAAAACCAACCTACTTTATCTTCTTTAACAAACTGTATCCCGCCTTAGCCTATTAACTATCGAAAACATCACCATTGTGTTTATGATATCTAAACTTGGCTATTCCAGCATCCTCATACCATTCTTCCAACTTCCACTTTCCATATTCTTCAACTCACTCAAAACTTTGTTATTCACTTTCTAATTCACATCAAGTCTGATTTGCCCATCACCCCGTGCTTACTGCTATATGCAAGTTCCAGAACAAATAATGTTTTGACATTAAAATCTTTTGCTTTCTAGTTCCTCCATGATATTTTCCTATTTTTGTAACCTACTGTAGCTGTAGAGTCCCCTTGGATCATAGTGTTCCTCTATCTTTGATCTCTTGCACATTCCCTGCTCCCTTTGCCCTTTTATTGGCAGCTCTGCCTTCAGCTCTCCACCTGAGCTCTGAATATTCCTCTGAAAAGCCCTTTACTTCTCTTATTTACATTGAGGTGCATCTTAAAACCTATCACTTTAAATTTTTTTTTTGCCATCTAATCTGATATGTCCTGTAGCTAGGTGTCAATTTTTGCCTCATTACATACACATGGAATACCTGGGATTGCAATTAGTGTTAAAAATGCTCCATAAGTGCAAATAGTTGTGCATAACTTGTTCTGCTTCCAAGCCTGAAGGGAGGAAGAGTCAGGACATCTGCTCTTCCTCTGCTCGGTATTGTATATTCTGGAATATACTGAATTGGCAACGTTGGTCCTGATTTTATGCCTGTGTATTCAGTCTGGTCAGGGAGTTGAATTCCTACACCTAAAATGCATTAGTGAAAATCTGCGGTATCAGATTCAATGATTCTTTTTCTGAATCTGTTTTTTTATTTCAATGCAGTTTTCAATTTCCCTTCAGTACGAGCAATGCCATATGTCCAATTACCATAGTTCTTTGCTTCCCTGATGAGATGTATTGAACTGGGTTATAATTCCTTCTCTTGGCTACCCTTTGATTTATAAACTACAAAACAAGGAAAGGCTATTAAGCTTTTCCAGTCTCTGCTTCCCAACAAACCATCTCTAAGTCACTTGACATCAGGGATCGTATAGCTAATCACAAGATAGGCATGTGGTATGCGTTTTATAATTGTTTCAGTCACTGCCTCCAGTGATTATGCAGCAGCTGTGGAGAGATGGCAGCAGGAGAGAGAACGTGCATCAGGCACACAGCGTGACAGGACACCATCCAGTGTTCTTTTGTTCTCCACTTCAGTTGGTAGCTCTGAGGTGCCAATGTTTCACTGCCTGCAGCAATGACAATGTATGTTCATATGACAGTTAATCCTTCTCTGCTCCCTGAACTATTAGATTATTGTGTTCAACAACCAATGTTAATGAGTCTCCCACTGGATTTCTCTTTCTGTTAAATTAACTGCACTGAGTCTGAAAGGTTGATATGGGGGAAGGGGGGGGTGTGAATGGTTGGAGCATTGCAGTGGGGAGTTATTCAGACTGAAACTTGCACTGAATAGTCATGAGATTAAGTAATCACAGCAATAGCAAGCAATCAGATTAACTCCTTCAGACTTCTGGATGATAACTGTGCCAGAGTACTGTCGAGTTTAAACTCAAATTACATTTAGAAAGAAGTAATACATATTTGTGTCACTTTTTTCACAACCACAAGACTTAAAGCTCTTTTCAGTCAATTAAGTACTTTGAAATGTAATATGTGAAACATTATGAAGTCATAGAGTGTACAGCACACAAACAGACCCTTCGGTCCAACTCATCCATGCTGACCAGATATCCTAAATTAATCTAGTCCCATTGCCAGCATTTGGCACATTTCCCTCTAAACCCTTCCTATTCATATACCCATCCAGATGCCTTTTGAATGTTGTAATTGTACCAGCCTCCACCACTTCCTCTGGCAGCTCATTCCATAAATGCACCACCCTCTGCATGGAAAAAGTTGCCCTTCAAGTCCCTTTTAAATCTTTCCCCTGTCACCTTAAACCTATGCGCCCTCTAGTTTTAGACTCCCCTATCCCATGGAAAATACCTTGTCTATTTACCCTATCCATGCCCCTCATGATTTTATAAACTTCTATAAGGTCACTCCTCAGCTTCTGACGCTCTAGGGAAAATAGACCCCGCCTATTCAGCCCCTCCCCATAACTCAAACCCTCCAACCCAAGCAACATCCTTGTAAATCTTTTCTGGACCTTTTCAAGTTTCATAACATCCTTCCTATATCAGGGGCCAAGTGAGACAATAACCAAGGAACACAAACAAATTGGTGGTGAAACTCAGCAGGTTTGGCAACATTTGTGGAAAGAAAAAAACAAAGTTAATATTTTGAGTCCACTGACCCTTTGTCAGAACTTCATCAGAATCTCTTTTAGGTTTTGCTGAGAGATTAATATCGACCAGGACACTCGGAGAATTCTCCTATTCTTTGAAAAGTGCTGAAGGATCTTTTACATTGAACCAAGATAGCAGGTTCAGTCAGTTTAACATTTTTTTTGAAAAAAAAAGGCACCTCAGTCTGTGCAGCACATCCGCATTCCAGATTATATACTTAAATCTTTGCAATTTGTCTTGAACCAGAGGCAAACACACTATAACTGAGGCAAGTTACTGTTAGTCAAAGCTTATTGCTTGTCTCTTTTTTTCAGTTTCTCTGTCACCTTAGCAAAGAAGCTTGCTCTTGGGTCAAAAGGATGTGCATTCTGAATGCGCACAAAAATCAAAGTTAATACCTCAGCACAGCACTGCACTGTTGGAGGCACCAATGATTACATAAGAAGTTAAACCAAAGCCTTATCCCCCCTTCAGGAGGTTGTAAAAGACCATAAGACCAAAAGAAAGAGGAACAGGAGTAGGTTGATCAGCCCTCGATGCTGCTCCACCATCCAATAGGATCATAACTGATCATTCCCCATGTCCAGTTTCCTGCATTTTCCCCACAATCCTGGATTCCTCCACTGATCAAGAATCTATCTATCTCAGCCTTAAATATACACAAGAATTCTGCCCCCACAGCTATCTGTGACAAGGAGTTACAAAGACTCCTAACCTTCTGAGAGAAGAAATTCCTCCTCATCTCAATCTTAAATTGGCACCCTTTTATACTGAGTCCATGACCTCTGGTCCTAGACATTCCCATGAGGGGAAACATCCCATGGCATTTAGCCTGTCAAGCCCTTTAAGAATCCAATATGTTTCATTGAGATCATCTGTCCTCCAGTGAATAGAATTCCAACATGTTTAGCCTTTCCTCATAACACATTCTCTCTATGCCGGGGATCAACCTAATGAACTTTCTCTGAACTGTCTCCCATTAAATTATATCTTTCCTTAAATAAGGGAACCAAAAATGCTCGCAGTAGTCCAGATTAGGTCTCACCAGCACCTTGTACAGTTGAAGTAAGACATCCTTACTCTGATACTCCAACCCCCTTGAAATAAAGGCAACATTTCATTTGCCCTCCTGATTACCTTTTTCGCCTGTGTTTTGTGTGCAAGCGCCCCCAAGTCCCCTTTGTGTAGCAGCTTTCTGCAGTTTTTCTCCAAAAGATATCACTGCACTGTGCTGAAGTACAGGGAAGTTTATGTCTGGAATTCTGATCAATATTTATCTTGGAATTAATATCACAAAAACAGACTGTTTAGTTGTTGCCTCATTGCTGTTTAAGGGATCTTGCTGTGCATAGATTGGCTGTCAAGTTTCCTACATCACAATAGTGACTTCACTTCAAAGTACTTGATTCCATATGAAACACTTAGACATTGGACATCATGAAAGATGCTATACAAATGTAAGTCTTTTCTTTTTCTCTTTCTTCTTTCAGTCACCTTAGCAAACAGCAGTGTCGGTGACAATATCAGATCACATCCATGACCCCTCTGCTCTCACTCCCTTCTCAAGTAAACCGCTGAACAACAAACAACAGTCTGAAGAGAGCAGGCCAGCATTACTGTAAAGAACATGGTCATACTTGATCCCAATCCAAGCCCACAGATGTTTTATCCATTCCTACAAGCCCTACTCTTTTTTAAGCCTTTCTTTTTCTCCATATTACCAGTAAAAGACACTGAATCACATTTCAAAGATGACCAGAGCACAAATGATCACACAAAGGTCAGCCTTCTGTTTGTAGTGGTGACTGTCCCAGAAGCTTGGCAGAGAAGCCTTGTTTGGTGTTAAAGAAGTTTGTGTGCTGGATTAGAGCCTCCAGATTATTAGGAATGTACCAGGTAGGCAGTCCAAGTGATGATCACATGGTTCCACTTCAGCCATTGAGGTGAGGTTCCCATTACTCAGGTTCTTGCTGCGATGCTTGTCTACTAAGAACAAAAAGAATAAAAATATCAACTCCTGGGATGGAGAACATAAATTTTGCTTTTATTCTCAACTGTCATTCTGTCAAAAAACTGAAGTTAATTGAGTGGATAAATGTGTGGCCAATAAAGTTCAGAATCAGGAAGTGAGAGATTATCCTTTTTGGAGCCAGGAAAGATAGTTCATAGTATATTCCAGATGGCAGGAAGTTTTGAACTGTGGTGGAGCTGGGATTTTTAGAAGTCCATGTACGGATACTACATATTATAAAAACAAATTGGAAAATTGCCTATATCTTAAGGAAGCTACTATACAAATACAAAATTTGTACCAGTTATACAGAGCTCTGGTTAAATCCCTTTGAAAGTACAGGATTTAATCCTGAGCGCTGCACCTCAGTAAACAGATACATAGGCTTTGGGGAGAATGCAGCGCAGATTGACCAGAATGATACCACGACCAAAAGGTTAAATTATTATGATCAAAGACCACCCCCCCGCCGCATCCTGCTTATACTCTCTTCCACCCTCTCTTCCATCGGGCAGAAGGTACAAAAGTTTGAAATCACGTACCAAGAGATTTATGAATGACTTATTCCCTGCTGTTATCAAATGTACCTCTCATATTAGAATTGATCTTGCCCTGCACCTTCTCTGTAGATATAAAATTATACTCTGCATTCTTTTCTGATTACCCCGATGTACTTATGCAAGGTATGATACATCTGGTTGTGTGTGACAATAATAAATCAGATCAAGGTTGCACAGACTAGGTTTAAAAATTCTTTTGAGTATAGAAAGTCATGAGCTATTTACTTAAGGTAAATAAAATGATTAAGGGATTTGTTGGGGTATTTAGTGATAAACTATTGCCTCTGGTGGAATAAGTTCAGAGTAACGGGGAATAAACTTAAAATTAGAAGTAGTGTGTTGAGATGATTTTAGGAAATACTTCTTCATACAAAGGAAAGTAAAAATCTGAAACACTCTTCCCCAAAAGCTGTTGAGGCTCATTTTCCTCCCAAAGGTCTTTGCTTGCCATCTCCCCTCATGCTCCCTACTTCATGCAATTGCACTCCCTGCACACATGCATCTCCATCTGCACTCTACAGCCCTCCCTCCCCACCATGCTAGTAACCCTCATTTATTACCTTTTTTCTTTGCTGAAGGCCAAATATCTGGCTTCATGTCTTCATAATCTGTCCAATCAAAGAGTGTCATGTCGAGGGTGGGATTCACCTCAGCAGCTGTTCTTGTTCCAGCCTACATGAGCTCAGGGCAACGATTTGCATGTCAGAGACAGGGGGAGAGAAGACAGGGAAGTAATGGAACAGAAAGACAGAGATCAAGCATGGGATCATGAACAGATGTGGATTGTTTGAAAGACAAATTAAGGAAAATATATGAGACAGAGATCAATGCAGTGGAGTGATAATGGAATGAAAGGGCAAAGAAAATGACAGTAATTAGATTGGAAGAAATAATAATTTGCAGACAGTACAGAGATCAGATAGGACAGCAGCAAGTGAGGTGAATTTGGAGGTAATGCATCCAGGCAACAGTAATCTAACAACTGAGAAAGGACCTGGGTGTCCTCTGGGGCCTTGAGAATTTATGTCAGTTTATCTTACAAATCCCATTATTACAGTTTGAAAATTTGAATGAAGGTAAAAGTGCCTGGAAATAAATTTCAGCCTTATTACCAGTGTCAACATATTGAGAATCAAAAACATAACCATTTTGATATCATTGCTTTCCTGCCATTGTGAATTAGCCAGAATTTCCTCATCTATCTTTAGACCTTTATATTTTCTCCGACTATGTCTTAAAGATCTGTCAGCTTTCACCAGATGGTCTACAATTGAGATAAGCTCCAAACCTCACAGCTCAGCTACTACAACAACCTCTTAACTTTTATCTCAGCAAAATCTGTTGCTTTTACCTCCTCTTCCACTTATAACCAAAGCCTTTACCTGGACTTCTTTCATCTCCAGACTCAATTATCCTCTTGCTGGCGTCGAGACACTCCAAAATTCAATTTCTTGTATTTTGCCTTATTTTACCTACCTAGCCATGGTCCTAATCCCTACTCACCTAAACTATGACGCCACCCCACAATGTACGGAGTTAAAATCCAAAATATAATAAATCCCAATGCAATAAATATTTATGTGTCCACACAGCAGCTCCACAAGCAATTTCCTATACCTCTTATAAGCCATAATTTCATCCAACTCAGATCCTTTGTGCATCTTCTGCCACTGATGGAAAAAGTTTTCTGCTATGTTCGTGCAATGCTGTAGCACTCCTGTGAGTACTATCACCTCTCTCCATCTCTCTTTATTCTTAAATGCCTGAGGGGAGAAATATTTGCTGAGGAGTAACTTCAGGGTGTGACTGTAACATGGCACAATCTGGTTTACCTGTTGTCGTGTGCTCCTCGGCTTTGTTGCTGGTGCTTCCTCAGTCGTGATGGTAGTCAGCAATGTACTGGTCACAATGGTGCTGGACATTGGCAGGGGCATTGTGGAAGGCTCATCTGTCTCCTTGCTTTGTGTCAGATCCTTTAAAAATGGGATTAACTCACTGCCCGGCAGTTTCCCTGCAGGGAAAGGTTAACTATTAGTATAAATTGACCATCTGCAGTTAAAAAAAGACTGACTGATAGGGTTAAATACAAGCTGAATATCAGAGGTCTCTGGGTTACAGCATGAGAAGCAATTGCTGACTGACGGAGGACTGTATGACAGGAAGGGACCTGCTGCTGGGTGACAGTATGATAAAGTGATAGGGACTTGCTGAGTGTGACTGAATTGTGCAAACTGCTGGACATTTTGTACCTTTGAGGTTGTACCTCTTGATTGGATGTTACTCTGTCTGTCACTTTGAGGCATGATTGCTCACTGCTGTGAAAGCCAAAGTAATAATGAACTAATGAATTAATTTGCTACACACACTGCCTTCATTGAGCATTACAAATGGTTTAGCATTAAAAACAGTGTCTAGACTTGAGCGAGTACATTGGATGGGAATCAGGATCCCGACCCATACCCACACACCCACCAACCACCCACCACTCCCCCACCCCAAACCAGCCAGAAACAGTGCTATTTCATACACGACTGCCTATTGACTACATTGGTGCGTCCCTGATTTAATCTGCTACACTATTTAACAGTGAAATTAACTGTCACTTATATATGTATTCTGCACAAACCTCAAACATTTAGAAAGTCTGCAATTCCAGTTTGATAGTCTTTCCAAAATGCAACACTCCATTCCTGGCCAAAGACCTTCCAGTGAAATTCCCAGTCACTTGCCCAATTTGAACAGACACAACATTAATAGGTATAAAAACAAAAGTTGTTGGAGAAACTCAGCAGATCTGGCAGCATCTGTGGAGAGAAAGCAGAGTTAACATTTCAGGTCCAATGACCATTCTTCAAAACTGATAGTAGCTGGGAAAAGGTTGGTGGAAATGCTAAAGATGTAGTTGGGTGGGGGGGGAGGGGGCAGTAAATGATAGGTGGAGATGGAGCTCAGAGAAAGTGAGAAAAACAGTTTAGCAGTCAAAGGAATAGGTAAAGTAAACCTGGGAGAAATAATAGGTGATAATGGGGTCCATTAGTGACTGACGATGAGTTGTTTGTGGTAGCAGCTCACGTGATGACAAGGCCTGGTGTGTGGGGTTTGGAATAAGTACATGGGAGATGGTGCTCAAACCCTAACATTGTTGCAATTGAGATAGAGTCCAGAAGTCTGCAGGATTCCTAAGCCAAAAATGAGGTGCTGTTCTTCCAGACTGCACTGAGCTTTGCTGGAGCTATGCAGCAAGCCCAAGATGGAAATTTTGGCCAGGGAACATAGTGGTGTATTGAAGTCGCAGGCAATCGGAAGCTCAGGGTCTTTGCTGTGGACAGAACGTAGGTGTTCTGCAAAGCAGTCACCCAGTGTCTACTTCATCTCCCCAATGTAGAGCAGACAACATTGTGAGCAGCGAGTACAGTGGACTAGATTGAGTGAAGTGCAGGTAAATTGCTGCTTCACCTGGAAGGTGTGATGGGCCCTTCGACAGGGAAGAAGTAAACAGGTAGCTTATACGCCTTCTGTGATTGCAAAGGAAGTTGCCATGGTGTGTGCGAAGGTGTTGGGAGTGGACCAAGCTGTCCTAGATGGAACAGTCCGTGTGGAAGGCTGGCAAAGGAGAGGAGGAGAATGTGAGTCTGGTGGTGACAGTCTGGTGGAGATGGCAGAAATGGCAGCTAATGATCCTTTAGATGTGGATGCTGGTGGGATCGAAGGTGAGGAAGAGGGGGACTCTATCACTGTTGTGGGAGGGGCTGAAGTGCAGAAAATAGTTCGGACATAGCTGAGGGTCCTGTCAACAATGGTAGTGGGGAATCATTGGTTGAGGAAGAAGGTGGATACTTCAGAGGACCCCTTGTCAAAGTTGGCATCATCGGAACAGATACAATGGAGATAGAGAAACTGGGAGAATGGAATAGAGTCTTTACAGGAAGCAGGATGTGAGGATGTATAGTCAAGAGTCGGTGAGTTTGTAGTGGATATTGATCGCCAGCCTATTCACAGAAATGAAAACAGAGGTTGAGGAAAGTGGGGGGCGTGGGGGAGGAATCAGAGGTGGACCAGGTTAAAGTGACAGCAGGGTGAAATTGGAAGTGAAATAGATAAACTTTTCCAATTCTGGAAAAGGGAACCTGCACCAATGATGTCATCAATGTGCTGGAAAGAGTTGTGGGTAGGAGCCAGAGTAGGTCTGAAACAAGGAATGTTCATGTACCCCACAAAGAGACAGACATCACGAGGGCCCAAGTGGGTACCCAAGGCCACCTCTTTGACCTGAAGAAAGTGAGAGCAGTCAAAGAAGAAATTGTTCAAAGTTGTTCAACATTAACTGGTATTCTAAGGTGTCACCAGGTCCAACTGACTCCTCATTTATTTGCATTTTTTTTAGCAGGATCTTTTGTAAAATTCCACATAATAGGCAAACTCCATTTATGTCAAAATCAGACAGGAATGTTCAGTCTGAGGCTCTAATGGTTACATAGAGGCCCAGCCAGGAAAAAAGTAATGATTAAGTTCGAGACAACAAGGTGCAGAGCTGGACAAACACAGCAGGCCAAGCAGCATCATAGGAGCAGGAAGGTTTCCTGGTCCT